GGAAAGAAAAAAAATTCTTTTGATATTAACAAGTTAAGCTACTCTTGGTTATACGTTCATTGATTATTGATTCTATCTTCAGAAAGTTCACAATCATCAGTCTTTGTGATTAGAATGTTCATTTTCCTGCTGGCTTCTCAAACAATTGGTTGTAAAACAATTGCCATATTGGCCGAGTCCAAGGTTGAAGAAACAAGATGAGTATGGCAGTTCCCCTGGAATGGCTGCTCCAGCTGTATTTTAAAATGGCTCCACTTATGTCAATTTTCCCATTGTGGTTTTGAGCACATCTCCCAGGTACCTAATAATATTAAACACCTTTACAAATGCTTGTTGACCACTTCTATATCCTCCTGAGAGAAAAGTCTATTCAGAATCTTTGTTGATTTAAAAAATTATGTTTATTGTCTTATTCTTGAATTGTAAAATATTTTTCTCATATAGCCTATATATAAATCCCCTATGAGATATAGGATTTGCAAATATATTCTCAAATTGTGTGGGTGTGTTTTCACTTTCTTGACAGTGTCATTTATAGAACAAAAGTTTTAAATTTTAATGAAGTCCAATTTCTCTATTTTTAATTTGCTTGTGCTCTTGGTGTCATATCTAAGGAACCATTGCCAAATTCAAGATCTCAAAGTTTTACCCCTATACGTTTTTCCTTAAGAGTCTTACACTTCCATATTCACACTTAGAGTTTTGATACGTTTTCAATAATTATTGCATATTCTTTGAGGTAGACAATACAACTTAATTATTTTACGTATAGATACTCATTTTTTCCAGAAGCAGTTATTTAAAAGAGTGTTCATCCATTGTCAAAAATCAACTGACCATACATGTCCCAGAATATTTCTGGATTCCAAAATCTACTCTATTTATTTATAAGCTTATCTGTGTGCCTGTATCACACTCTCTTGATTACTGTAATTTGTAGTTGGCCATGAAATCAGTGTAATTCCTTCAAATTTGTTCTTTTCTTTTTCAAAATTTTTGACTATTTTTAGATCTCTTGAATAATTATGTGATTTTTAGGATTAGTTTGTCAATTCGTGCAAGGAAGTCAGAAGGAATTTTGATAGAGATTGTGTTGACTTGTAGTGAGTTGCCATTACAACAATATTAAGTATTTTAATCTATGAATATAAGATGTCTTTCCCTTTATTTAGAAAATTTTAAATATCTTTCCAAAATGATCTGTAGTTTCCACAGAATACATTTTGCACTTTTCTTATTAAATTTATTTCTAAGTATTTTATACTATTCAAGGTATTGTAGTGCGATTATTTTCTTAACTTCATATTCAATTATACATTGCAATTGTGTATTGTACATCTTCTAGTGAATTTCCAAATATTTTCTCTATGTAAGACCACGTCATCTGCCAATAGAGAGACTTTTAGGTCTTCCTTTCCAATGTGGATTTATTTTGTGTTCTTGCCTAATTTGTTTGGCTTGAACCTCCAATAAAATGTTGAATAGAAGTGATGAGAGTGGACCTCCTCATCTCACTCCTTATCTTAGAAAGAATTTAGTTTTTCACCATTGTATGATGTCGCTGTGGGTTTTCCGTAGACTCCTTTTATCCACTTGAGGAAATTTCCCTCTATTCCTACTTCACTGAGTATCTTTATCATGAAAGGTATTGGATTTTGTCAAATGATTTTTCTTTCCTTATTGAGATTGAGACTGAGGACGAAGGAGTGAAAGTTTCCCTGGATTAGGATGAAACTGTGCCTCTACGCACAAGGTTAACATGGGAAACACAGTAACCAAAGTTTCTGAGCCTGCCTTGCAGAACAGCAGGAGGACCGCTGATAAGAGTAGCTTGCTAACAGACCTAAGCCTGACTAAGCTTGAGAAGCTAAAGTGATGGCCTTCAAGCTTCACATATCAGAGACTAAAGATCCACTGCATGCAACGTATAGAACCCCCCCAAATTTGCACAGGCAGCCCATGAAAAAAACGTGAAAGACAGTAGCTCCTGCACTGTGGACTCTTAGAACTTCAGCTCCCAAGGCCACATGCTCTGCTCCCCATTTTACTCCCACAATATGCTTTGGAAAAATGCTTAGAACTGCATGTAGGCAAGCCAATCTGTAACAGGTAGAAAGAATAACTTGTTAGCAGAAAATTCATGTCCTCTGTCCAAACTGTTCCTTTTGTCCCACATAAGGAAGTAACTGAGGTTTTCTCAAATTCCTCAGGAATGTTGCATTCAGCAAATCTACTACAGAAGTGCCCAATGTTCTGCAGTCATCCATCATTTGACATTTCTGAGCCCCCCCTACCCCATTTGCCTTATATAAGTCAGTTCCAAATCAGTTCCCTTTAAGATGGGTTTTTTAGGATGATAGTCCAGCATCTTCTTATATGCTAGTTTACTACTTATTGAAGTTCTTTTTCCCCACCACCTGCTAGGCTTTCTTTCTTGTGGTGAACAGATTGAGCCCTTGCTTGGTATCAAGATGATCGTTCAGGTTTTGTTATTCATTCTGTCAGTATGGGGTATTATAATAATTCGGATAATATAATAATTTCTGCTATTACAGTGACTTTGCCTTCCTAGGATAAATTCCAGTTTTCCTTGGTTTATAATCTCTTTTGTATATTCCTGGATTCAGTTTGCTGGCATTTTGTGGAGGACTTTTGCATCTACATGCATAAGAAATATTGGTCTATGGTTTTCTTTTCTTTGATGACTGTGTGTTTTGAATATCAGGGCCTTATTGACTATCTTAACGACTGTTTCCTCCCCTTCTTTTATTTGGAGGCTATTTTTGAACAATTGATGTTAATTCTTCTCTAAATTCTTTATAGAATTTATCAGTGATGTCATTTAGGCCTTTTCTTTGTAGGTAGTTTTTGATTACTAATTCAATCTCTTCTTTTTGTTATAGACCTATTCAGATTTTCTCTTTCTTTTTTACTCTGTGTCTCCACATGCAGCACTTGGCAGACCAGGTTCCTCATTTCTACTAGCTTGTATCTACAAGGTGTGGGCAGCCTAGCCCACTGCAGCCCACAACCAGCGTGGACTGTCCATGCATGCGCAGAACAGGCAGCATTAGCTGCTGGCTTATGCACAGAACTTCTTTTCCAGGCAGGGAAACCTTCGGCTGCAGAGTGACACCTCAACAAGCAGTTCTGGCTCCTCCACCACCAGAAGAGCCAACTGAAGCCTTTGCTCTCAGGGAACTCAGTTCCTTCTCACACTGGGCAACTTCAGTCTATGATCCCAGTACTTCCTCCTTGGCAATGATGGTGGCCTCTGTCCTCTCAGATTCTTATGTTTGATATATCTTCTGTGGGAAACAATTTATTGACTTAACTTACATTTTCCTCACATCAGTGCCTTTTACTATCTTTTGTATGTTATTGGCCATTTTTACTTCTGTGAGTTGCCTGTTCACATCCTCCATTTAATTTCATATCAGACTGTTTGTATTTCTGTTTGTGATTTGTAATATTTCTCACTGTACTATGATTACCAACCTTTATCTGTTACATGAGTTACAGGATAGATTTGAGGAGAATTAATTAAGCCTATATGCGTGACTTAACAATATTATCTACTATGGTGCTATATTATTTCTCTAAAAATGTGTCAATTATCTAGAGGAGTTGTACGGAAAAACCTGTGATGAACTTTTCCTATGGATGCCCTGGCATCAAAGTTTTAATGTGTTTTTAAAATAAATCCATGTCTTATTCTGGAGAATGTTTGTTGTGAGACTTTGATGATACACTTCTTGACCAATAAAGATAGATGTGTTTTACTCACCTGGACCACTTGGATGCTAAAGGGATTCCCTGATGTTTTTCTCTTAGGAGGGCTGTGAGCATCCTTGTGGTCTGATTTTCCTATTTCCGTAAAATTTACATGATTTTTGTTTTCTTTGCATCATTATTGATTATGATCAGTCATAGTGTGCCATGGTTTAGGAAAATGATGGTGTATTATTTTTTTTTCATGCCAATGGATTTAATGTTTCCATATTAAATCAATGGAAGGTTTGAGACAACAGGCTTATGAGGAAAGAGAGAAAGAATGAGACATGCTGATCTACTATGGTTATATAGAATGAGAATCATTATTTTAAACTGCCTTCAACAAACACGTTGAATTGCTCACCGTACCTGTAAGTAGCTAAAAGATGTTGTGCCTTTTTTTGATGAAGTGGACATATGTACGCACACATTTGGAGAGAAAGGAAATTCAGTAATTCCTTTAGAGAATAGATTCTATATTATCAAACCTACAGCTGGGACCTTACATCCATTATCAAAGGATAAAATGAGCATGAAAGCAATGAGATGAATCTTTTTAACTGGCTGTGAGGTAAAGAGAATAAGCTAGTGAAACCAAACTCCTTCTTAAATAGCTCTGTCCTATAAGAGGAAGCAGGTAGCAGTTGTTATATTTCTAAATCCACATACATTCCAATGGGAAAGGAGTTAAACTGGGTGGAGGCAAACATCTTGCCATGTCTTTAGGTAAGGAGTGATGCTGAGGCTGGATGCACAGTAAAAGCCAAGTAGCATTAGTGGTCTCCTAAAAGGAGATGGAAGGGTGAATCATTTTCACAATTCTACCTATTGAACAGTTTCTTCAGCAAAAGTCAAAACTAGAAAATTTGCATCAAAATGAAGTTAAATTATTGAGTATTTGCACAAAATATTGATATTGTGAATAGATTACTTAATGTTGTGTCCATGTGCAATTATTGAAACACAGTTAAGCTCAATAATTTTCTTTTGGTATAACTTTTGTATTAGAATAATAAATTTCAATATATCTATATAGTTTTATTTTTATTTTTTGCCTCTTTTTCTCTTTAGCACGACGTACATCTAACTCCTAAACCAGTAAAAAATCACTTGAAAATTTTGATATGAGAAGCTAATTATGAAAGGTTGTTTGTCAGCAAAAGAACAGATCTTTACACTGCAACTGCTTCTCACTGGAATTGACTGGAGGAGTGTCATCTATGAGGCATACCAGCTTCAGGCCTCAGATACAACTATTCCCTTTTTTCCTTCTTTCCTGTTTTAGCAAACTTCCGACAACAATACAGACAACATTTTGCAAGGACAAATACAGCAGTTGCCACACAGGCCAGCAGGAACCCAATCACATCCAAAGAGTGGTATTGGAACCAGGTGAGGTCATGGGAGGCTGGCCGCAGGTGTTTGGCTCCGTTGTGGCGCATGACAAACTCGATCCAGAAGACTGCTCGATCTAGAGGCTTCACTGGTTGATCATGATGAATTCTTGATAATTTCACAGCATTCTCTTTATATCTAAAGGAGAAACACAAAGATAGCAATATTGAAAGGAAGTTAATTTGCCTAAGCATATCATTCCCATGAAAGGTTTTTGAAGTGTCATACATATGTTTCAAAATAAATGTCATAGAATTACAGAAGAGGGCCGGCCCAGTGGCTTAGCGGTTAAGTGCGGGCGCTCCGCTGCTGGAGGCCCAGGTTCGGATCCCGGGCGCGCACCGACGCACCGCTTCTCCGGCCATGCTGGGGCCGCGTCCCACATACAGCAACTAGAAGGATGTGCAGCTATGACATACAACTATCTACTGGGGCTTTGGGGGAAAAATAAATAAATAAATAAATAAAATCTAAAACCAAAAAGAATTGCAGAAGAAGTATATTTTTATATGGATCTTCATAGATAGTTTGGTTTTTATTTTTTTATTTATTTTGTTTTTTTTTGAGGAAGATCAGCCCTGTGCTAACATGTGCCAATCCTCCTCGGTTTTTTTTGCTGAGGAAGACTGGCCCTGGGCTAACATCCATGCCCATCTTCTTCCACTTTATATGGGACGCCACCACAGCATGGCTTGCCAAGTGGTGCATCAGTGTGCGCCCGGTATCCGAACCCATGAACCCCAGGCCACCGCAGTGGAGCACGCGCACTTAACCGCTTGCGCCACCGGGGTGGCCCTAGTTTGTTTTTAAATTGGAATTTTTTGATGACAAATATTTTAAAAAGTGAAGATGAAGATAAGGTGAGAAAGTTAAATCTTTTCTGGCAGAGGACATGATAGGAGCCATTCAAAGGGCTATAAGTCAAATGACAAATGCAATTTTAGGATGATGCTCCTGAAGTTTTTAAAGAGGAATTGTGTCATCGTGGGTAAAATGCCTCCTAACCAGTCCCTGTGCTTATACTCTCCTCTTTATAACTCACTGTCTTTTTTTCCACCCATTAGCCAGAATGAGTTTTTTCAAACACATGTCAAATTGTAACACTTCCCTGCTTAAAATTTCCGTCTGGTTTCTCATCCCATGTAGAATAAATTCCAAATCATCACTTTGGCCTCAGGAAGTACATGCAGAGACCCCTGGCAACCTCCTCTCCAAGCATTTTGTCCTCAGCACACTCTGTTGTAGGCACATTGGCCTCGTAGCTGTTTGTTGAAGCTGCCAAATGTGTCCCCACTTCAGCACCTTTGCACTTCCCGTCCCCTCTGTCCCTGTCCTGGACCACCATTCCCTGTGACACCCCAAGTTTTGCTTCTAAGCCTTGATGGAGGCTTTGGCTTCAGTGTCACTTCTCCGAGAGGCTTTTCCTGATCACACTGATAGCACCCCTGGACATTGTTTCCATACTTTTAAATTTTTTTCTATTTGATTTCTAGATTTCTAAATACATTTTGTAAAATATACCTTTTATTTAAGTATAAATACATTAGAAAAATGCACATATCCTAAGCGAACAGCTCAAAATGTCATAATCAGCTACAAATTGTCATGAAGTGAATATACATTGTACCTACTACCTACATGTTAGTATAGGATACCAGAAGCTACTAGAAGCTGCCCATTTTCCTGGACCTTTTAGTTGCTAATCCCTTCTTCAAATTGACTACTATCATTACCTTTAACATGATAGATTAATTTTTCTGGTTTACATATTGGAATCATATAGTAATACTCATTAGCTTTTATCCTTTCTGTAGCAGATGTTGGTGAATTCCATTTCTGTATAGTATCCAATGTAAGAGCTACCACAGATTATCTCTCCGTAATGATCAATGGATATGTGGATTGTTAATAACATTTTGGCCATTTCTACAAATGCTGATGTAAATATTCTTGTAGATGTCTTTTGCTTTACATATTTATACATTTCTGTTGTGTAATACCTAGAAGAGAATTGCTGAGAAGACAGTGCATGTATGAGTGTGATTTCTTTGTTGATTCTAAATTATTCAGAAATGTATTGCTTAATTTTTGAAATCTAGAGGGTTTTTTTAGTTCTTTTTTTTTACTTTTTATGATTTCTAACTTAATTCTTGTCTGGCCATATAATATACTCTATAACTTGAAAGCTTTCAAATATTAAGTCTTAGTTTTGCCCCAACATGCATGGTCAATTTCATTGATTATTCTATATGCTGTTGAAAAATGTGTTTTCACCATCATTATACATATATAATATAATATATAATATATAATAATACAATATAATTTGATATATATATAAAATAAGTTACATTTTAAAATTTTGTTCTTCAAAACTTTTATGTACTTATTTATTTTGTCATCTTTTTCTATATTATAGAAAAAGGTCTTTAAAAACATTCTATTATGACCATAGATTTCTGTTTCATTTTTTCTTTTTTTCTACTTTTACTTTCCTTATTTAGAGGATTTATGAGTAGGTGTTACAAATTAATAATTTGTATTGTTGTGAAAGACTAACTTATTTATCATTGTGAAGCATTTAGCTTTTATTTTAGTAGTGTTTCTGGTCTACTGTCTCTGTTATTGGTATAGCTACATACATCTTTTTACTTTTTTTTAATTTCTTTTTTTAAATTTTTTTTATTTAATTTTTTTTTATTTTTCCCCCAAAGCCCCAGTAGATAGTTGTATGTCATAGCTGCACATCCTTCTAGTTGTTGTATGTGGGATGCAGCCTCAGCATGGCCGGACAAGCGGTGCATCGGTGCACGCCCAGGGTCCAAACCCGGGCCACCAGCAACAGAGCGCATGCACTTAACCGCTAAGCCACAGGGCAGGCCCTCTATGGTTACTGTTGAAAAAGATTTTTTCCTATCGTTGTACTTACGATCTTCTTGCACTCTTCTATTTAAGCATGTCTTGTAAATAGTAGATATAGTTAGTCTTTAAATTCCATTCTGACAATCTTTGTATTTAAATGATTTAGTCTGTTCAGATACAGTATTGACATCTTCATACATATTCACATAAAAGCATATATAGCAATATTCATCATAGCCAAATGTGGAACAACCAAAATATCCATGAACTGATAAATGGGTAAATAAAATGTACTATGTCCTCATCATAGAATAATATTCAGCAATAGCAAGCTACAACAGGGAAGAAACTCAAAAACATTATCCTATGTGAGAGACGCCAGTTGCCCAAGACCATATATTGTATGATTCCATGTATATGAAATGTCCAGAAGGTCTGATCTATGAAGACAGAAAGTTGATTACTAGTTGCCTGGGCAGGGGTGAATAGGAAGTGACTTCTAAGGCATGTCACGTTTGTTTTTGTGGTGATAAAAATGTCCTAAATTTATACTATTTTGATGGTTTCATAGCTCTATAAACATAATACATATATTTGAATTTATAGTTTTAAAGTATATAAATTATATCGCATTATAAAATCTGCTAAAAAGATAAAATCAATATTTCATATAAAGAGATTTATAGTTTCAGAGATGCTAGGTACTGAGTTGAAAGAATTTATGATATTTCTTCTAGTTCATCATTCTTTTCTTCTCTGGTTCTATCAAACTTTTAAAAATGTGTCCTTCTTACAATTACCTATGAAAATTTACATTATTTGAGGAGAAAATTGTTGCACCAGTTGGTTACCCATTAAATTTATGGGGTTAAAAGAGCTTCAAAAAAAATGTATGGGTGAAAATAAAAGTATAGGGGAGGCGGAGTCAAGATGGCGGCGTAGGCAGACTCGGAACTC